GTTCAAAAGAAAAGAAATGGCTCCAAGCCTGTTAAAATGGCTGAGAAAACCACTAGGGGGGGGGGGGGACATTCTGAGCTTCTGATTGGTTATTCATGTCATATATAGAAGTAAGTGTATATAAAGGAGTGTTTCCAAAAATAGAAAGAGGTGGGTGGGGTAGGTGCTACTGTATTTGATTTGTTACAATGTCTTATTTTATTTTCTAACATGTCAGTATCGGCAATAGACTTCACAAACATCTAATTTGAACCAGTGTTGCATTCAACATACCACATGACACACAAAAATCGATGTTTATCTGTGTTTTCTATTTACTTTTAAATTAAGAAATTGAGTAATGTATAATATTAAAATTTGAATTATAATCTACAGTTTGATACCAAAGTTAGACATAAATTTATGAAATAGTAGTTCAATAAAATTTTGAATGATAATCAACAAATGAGATGATATGGCCTTTCACTTGTGGCATGTCTTGAAAGGGTTAACATAAGTGAAACAACCAAATTGCAAAAATTTCCAAGTTAACTGCCCTCAAATGTTTTTATCCGAAAATAGGTAAAAGCAAAAGTAGAGGAACACTATGACATCACAAGGTTTATTTTTGCATGCATGAAAAAAACTGTGTTGAGTAGAACTATGAAATAATGAATTTTATAAGTTTTGTATGCTATAGTGTGATAAATAGGATAGAAATATAACACTTGTTAGTTATGTAGTGGCTCTGTATTTCTCTTGTACCAGCCTCCTGTGTGCCTACTTTCATGGTTGAACAGTTTTATTAGATTGCTAATATACCTTCAATCAACTTTAGGATCACTTTCCATTACACTCTTTAAGGCTTACTGTTTACAACTATTACATACTTCATTTTTTAAATATTTTAATTTCTTATGACATTGTCTATTCTGTAAGTTTGAAAGATTAACCATAAGTCTTATCAGTAAGATGCATTCTAATATTAAAAGACTAATGTTATATAGATAAGATATATTGGAAGCAGAAAAGTATGCAAAATTTTTCAAAGTAAAATTTTAATTAATTTTTACTGTGTTTGGAGTTAGATTTTTCCAACTAAAACTAAGTAGAAACAATGTATAACCTATATTTGCCATTTTTGTTTTGTTTTTTATATTTTCTATTCATAAACTAAAAATTATCTACTCTGTATAGTCAAAATGAACAAATTTTGCTTTGGTTGATTTTGGTAAATGTTTCCTTTTTTCTCCTAAAGATATATGATGAATGTTATCATTGTCGGCATTCTGGTCATTGGGCTCGAGATTGTCCTGAATTGGAGAGGGATCGCTTCTATCGTAGAAGGTACTGGTCACGATCAAGGTCGAGATCACGATCTCGCAGGCAGGTTATTCTGTACATTTTCACTAATTTTATTGGTTTTGTAAATGTACAGGATTCTATTAAACATGAAAATGGATGTAAATTTCAAGGACAACGTATTGTAGTAAAATGGGCTTGAAATTTTCATACAAAACATCTTAATAAGAAAGATTAATAAAACTTTGCACTTTAGTTGTACTTGTAGATATATTCATGATATTCCTTTCCTTAATTTTCAAGGTTTTGTTGATACTTGCATACAAATCCACCAGAACCCACTTTTGGAGGGGGGGGGGTAAGCTTTCACTAAAAATCAAATGCATTATCATGACTAAGATATCAAATTATAAATCAATGTGCAAGCTGAAAGTTTTTAATAAAGGCTACTTTTCAAATACGGATATTCCTATAAAGTTATTTCCAGTGTTTAGTACTTGCAGCTTAATTAGACACAACAGAACTTGTTAACTGTTTCAGCACGGGCTCTATCCCTGGAACCAATCTCGTAACTATTTTGTGCTTGTTATAGCTTTCATGTTATACCTTTTTAAATTAGTAAGCGAACG